TAAAGGTGTCTGCCACCAATGCCCAGCTTGGCAGCAGGTGCTTTAGCCCAACTTTTTAATCTTTTTTATCTTAGGTGCTCTTAGGTTTTCCTGACTCACTAGTCTGATTTAAAGTTCCCTTGTATGCTTGCTGACTTCCCTGTACCATTGCTTATATGTACCCTGCTTTTGGTCTGAGTCTAAGCCCATATCTCCTAGCAAATCATAAGCTCTCTGAAGCACTATTCTTTCTAAAGGCCACGTTCAGACACCAGCAGGGGTCACTGTAGACTTGTTAAATTACCAAGAGGCTTTCTGGTAGGAGCATATGCAGGTTTAAAGGCCTCTCTCACTGGAGTTTGCAAGGTGCCTGCAAGGTTGGAGGGGAGGAGTATCTGTGTGTGTGGAGAGGAACATCAGCTCACAGAGAAGAGTGCTCCAAAGGAGCAGAGTGCAGATCTGAGTGCTTTCCAGGGTCCTTACTACCCCGCCACTCTACAAGACACGAACGGCCAATCACAGTTGGATGGGCAGACAAGTGCAATCACAAGTGATTTTCCGGCCAGGAGGACAGTTCCCAAGAAGAGGAAGCTCACCGAGAGGCAGCAGGTTTTCAGAGGCGTTGATATAAATCACAGAAGTAAAATGTCTGAAGTCCTTTTCCTTTACCTGTCCAAAAGCATGCCAGAAAAACACAGGATTAGTTCCCTGCCAGGAGCCCTGCAGGAACACCAGTGAAGCTGCCAAGAGGACGAATGCCTAAAGGACTAAGAGACATTCTTAGTGCAAGGGCAGCCATGTGGGGGAGAGCTGTGAGGGCTTTTCTGTTCATTTTCCTCTATTCTGAAGTACTTCAAACATCAAAAAGTACAGTGAGTGATCTTTGATGATGACCCAGTTTTAACAGATCTGAATCCTAACTGTTTAAACATGAAAGAAACCATTAGAAGACTTACGACCTCTGTCATCATGTCCCCCCCCAACTCACACCTCATCCCTGTTCTTGATTTTTAAGTGTATTACATACATTCATATGTTTATATCCATCAACTATATAAAGGGTTGTTTACATGTTTTAAAACTTTATATCCATACAGTCTTATGATTCAATATGCCCTTTTTACTCAATAGTATGATTTAGAGATTTATGTGAGATATGTATAACTCTTTGGAGCTTTATATGTGTTAACACATATAGGTCCAGTTCATTTATTTGAATTCCTTGCTTGAGTATATGACAAATTATCCTTTCCGAGTGGGAGCATAATTATCTGTTTCAAAATTTCCATCATTAGAAACAATGGTGCCATATACATTCTTGTACATTCCTCCTCATCATAAGAGTTTCTTTACTCCTACCAGATGGTAAGCTCATGTAAAGAGCATTCCACACAAGGAATCACACTCTACTCACATTTCCTGGCCAATTCACACCATGTTCTATGCCCCAGTCTCAAGAACAGATTCCTTAGGTGAGTTTTTCTAATTCATATGAATACCAAATTTATAGCACCCAGTGAACCCTTGTTTGCCCTCTGTCCTCCCTCTTTCTTTCTTTTTGGTTTTTTTGTTTTTCGAGACAGGGTTTCTCTGTGTAGCTTTGGAGCCTATCCTGGCACTCGCTCTGGAGACCAGGCTCGCCTCAAACTCACAGAGATCCGGCCTGCCTCTGCCTCCCGAGTGCTGGGATTAAAGGCGTGCGCCACCCACGCCCGGCTTGTCCTCCCTCTTTCTACATAACTGATTTCTAGTGCCCAGGAACTATGGAGGTGCCATACACAAACCAGAGCTTCCAGGTGCCCCCTCACATCTGGCTCTGTCACATCTTTGCTGATGGCCTCACCTTGGAGAACTTCATGCCGCTCACGTTGACAGTGCAAAGGTCTGATGGCTTTCTTACACAATGGTGCTTCAGCTGGAACACAGGACACAGAATTGGTCCCCAAGGTCCCAACAGAACATAATGAATTAAACTATTTCTGTTGAGTGTTTTCTCATAAAACTTGCCATTGTTTGCATGTGCATCCATCCATCTCTCCATCCATCCATCCATCCATCCGCCAAGTATTAACTGAGTACCACCTTTGAGCCACAAACTGATTATATTAACAAACTTTTGTTTAATCCTAACTGAACCCCTTTTAATATAAGTAGTATTTCTTCTTACTTATTAGTTGTGTTAAAGGGTTTTCCTTTCTCTTTCAGTATTACTTTTTCTGAAAGAGAATTTACTTTCCCCTTTAATGAGTATAAGAGGCAGAAGGTGCCTTGTCTGAGGCTCTATAGCTAGTACATGATTGATCTATGAATTGGATTCAAATCTGTAATCATTAAACTACACATTTTTGCCTACTGAATGTCATTGTACATAATGAAAGAGTTGGGATCTAATATCGGCTTCAAGATATCTCCTAGCTGAACGCTGCTGAGATCCTTGTCCCACCTATTATGGTCCGTCCCTATGGTGCCTTCTTTGAAGAGGCCCTGAACAGGCTCAGGGAAGACAGTGGGGAAGCAGTAGAAGCCTTCCACACCTTCACTTAGTGGGAAGCCAAATGGCAAGCACTTAGGAATGTAATGGTAATTTTAAAGGAGAAATACCAGATCCAATGGGTATGGAAACAGGAGGTCCCAACCTCAGTCTTAGAAGGAGGAAACATGTACTTGAGGAAGTGATTTTTCAGCCAAGTGCTAAGAGCCGAACAGGAGGTAATCCTATGAAGTGGGTAGGGAGTATGCAGACCTCCCAAGTGGGAGAAAGCATGGTATTTTTGAGAGGTAGCCAAGACAAGGTTAGAGAGAGAATTGTGAAACCATTCGGATCCACACTGGTTCTGAACAAGAGTGTAGACTAAGTAGTGGCTGACAGCAGTTTCATAAAATCGGTATGCCTGACCTTCTTAGAAAGGATAAGAAGACAGAAGAGCCCAATGTGCCAGAAGTTATTAATGACCTTTCCAATAAACATACATCTACATCTTCCCTGTTAGAGAACACTGAGGTCATTTCCCTTCCTTGAAGTGGACATGTTCCAAGCTCCAGCCCCAAGAACAAGCCTTAACCTGTACCAGCCAACTGTCAAGGTCTTGTTCCTCCAACCAATAACTGGATATATAGGTCATGCCAATAAGATGTTGGCTGCTGTGATTAGGAGTGGGTGACAGCTAAAAAATGCCTTTTCTTCTAAAGACAGGCCTGGTACAGTGGCAACTCCTTCTCTGCCTCTGGATGTTGTCCTCTGTGTGTATGATGATCAGAAATGCAGCAGCCATTTTGGAATAATGAAGGGAGTCAGGACAGGAGGACAAGTCAGCATGCCAAGGATGACAGTGCAGAAAGATGGAAGGATGCTGAGCCTTGGAGATATTATGTAACCATTATGTGATGGATTCCAAACAATGCCTCAGGCTTCTGTGTGAAATAAAAGCATTCTAGATTTTATTTACTTCTTCTCCTTCTGTATTATTATTACAGCAGCAGCATCTGGGGATGTGTGCATGTATGCACACACCATGTCATTCGTGTGAAGGTTAGAGAGCACCTTTTGGAAGTTGGTTCTCTCCTTCTACCTTCTCTCCCGGGGATTGAACTCAGGTTGTCAGGCTTTGTAAAGCAAGCACTCTACTGAGCCAAGCGTAGATACCTCTGATACACATCTCTTGGGACCCACAAGCAGAATGTGGAAACAAGGGAGGCTGCCAGTTCTTCTTGGGGAGCAATGACAACCACACTACCCAGGAGGCATGGTCAGGGTGACCCCTACAGGGTCGGTCCTCTGGAAGAACAGCCAATATTCTCAAGCACTGAGCCATCTCTCTAGGCCTCAAGTCCCTCACTTAAAATGGTGTCATTTTTGTTAACAACCTATGTATCTCTTCCTATATACTTCAAACAATAACTGGGTCATTGATAATAACTAATATAGTACAAATAATATGTAAAAGTTGTTAGAACTTATGGTTTAGGGAATAGTAATATAAAAGTATGCATATGTGTAGTACAGTGAAAATTTTTTGCTTTATTTTTCAAACATTTCAGTTTGTGGTTGTTTAAATCTGTAGGTAAGGAATAGTGGATATGTAGGGTCGACTGTATTTGGAAATAAGTGGGGGGGAGAGAACACTGAGGTGTGATGTGGTCTGTCCCACCCCAGTATTGCTGTTTCAGTCCTCTGTCCTCCCAGTGAGGAGTGGTCACGACAGTCAAAACAAATCCCACAGCTCTGCAAAAACCTTTCGCTGCTCAACGAGGGGAGGTGGAGCCAAGCATGTTCTCTTGCAACCTGTGATACACAACTCTTGGGACTCACAAGCAGAATGTGGAAACAAGGGAGGCTGCCAGTTCTTGGGGAGCAATGGCAACCACACTACCCATTAATATTAATTTATAAAATCCATCTTTCTTTGTTCCTGAAGCTCCTGAAGCATTGCATGGAACAGATGTGAAACTACCTGGCTGGTCTCCAACCCAGTACCCCGGCTCTTTCCAGAGATACTGCCTGCCTCAGGTCTGCCTGGAGTAATACCATGAGCTCCTCCTGCTTCTAGGCAGATGCTAAAACCAAAGAACCAAGGCGAAGTGTGGGGGAGAGGGTAGGGGGAGACACAGAACCTCTCTGGTCCCACTGGCTCCCACCCCAGAGCAGAGCACAGCATGGCACACAGGAATCTCTTGCTCCTCCTCAGCACTGACATGGGACCCTCAGTTTACCCTTTATTTCTGAAACACTCTTGCCTTTCCAACTCACGTAAGACTTTGCCCTTCATATAATGTCTTTTCTTTTCTTTTCTTTTCTTTTCTTTTCGAGGCAGGGCCTCATTATGTCAATTCACAGAGATACACCTGCCTCTGCCTCCCAAGTACAGGGATTAAAGGTGTGTGCCACCCTATCTGGCCATTTTACATAATATAAAGGTACAGGTTTTAGAGTCAGTGGATCAGGGGTCTAATCCTGGTCCAGTCATTTATTGGCTCTAGGGGGGACCTCTTTTTCCCTGTTTACAAGTGGCAACAATATAATAGGGATGGTAAAACTGGTACTATCTCAAGGGGTGTATGGAAAGGCTTCACATGTTAAAGGAAATTTCCAGGGTTCTTTCATCATCAGCCACATTCAATTTGCCACCATCACTCTCATAGATAGCTTGGAATGGGATAGGAGGGGTTCTTTCATCATCAGCCACATTCAATTTGCCACCATCACTCTCATAGCTTGGAATGGGATAGGAATAGTGGTACCTGGGCAAGACAAGTCCTTGCCCCTATTCAGACTAAGGCAGGGCAGGGGAGTCCTCGTTCCTTCCCTCCACCTCCCTTAGCTAATGCTACCAGATACTCGGGGATGCATTTACTCTCACCAGAAAAGCCCGGTCCAAGATGTGTCCAAGAATGTCTGTCTGGCTATCCCGCTGAGTTACTTTCTTCAACCCAGTATCAAAGGAAACTTTCTTCTGGTGTTCCTGGCTTTCAGGGGATGCCTTAGTCACACTCTTCTTCATGTTGCCTTTGCGAGACACTAACCAGTGTCCTCGGCCTGTGGGGAAGGTTGGGACAAGTTACTCACCACTGTTGGAGGTGTCTGCATACACCCTGTCTCTTTTCAGCAGACACTAAGCTCAGTGAGGGATAGGGTACAGATGAAAAATGCTTACAATGAGAAAGATGGGATGGCTGCCCAACTCCTCCTTTTATCTCCAAATGTGTGCCTCCTAAGTGTACTACTCATTTAAGAGACAAAATTGGACTCTTCCTGTTATGTGATATCCTCTCTGATTCCCCTGGGTATAGAGGATAACTCTCTCGGGTACTAGCCAGTTACTCTCCTGTTGATCATCTCTTGGGTAAGGCCTGTGTATGACCTGAATTCAGCAAAAAGAATATGAAGGCTAGGGATGTAACTCAGCTGGCCAAGTGTTTGACTAGCTTGAGTGGAGACCTTGGTTCAACCCCCAGCACTGTATAAAACTGCTTATGGTGGGGCACACTTGTAATCCCAGTACTCAGGAGGCAGAAACAGAGGGATCAGAAGTTCAAGGTCATCCTTGACTACATAGCAAGTTTGAGGCCAGCCTGGGTTACATGGGACTCTATAACAGAAAAAAAAGATTATGAAATTCATAATAAGTTCATTTAAAAATCATAATGACATTCTATGACCTACTATAGCATTAACTGCAATCTGTAATTGTATTATTTACTTACTCATTTGTTGCTAACATTCTCCTCTGGAATAGAAGCTCTATAACAGCAGGGGCCTTATCTATCTCAACTTTATGTCCCCATAGCCTGCACAGAGCTTGCCACACTGTGACTGCTACTCACGAATGACTTAGACCACATCATCATCTGTTTAGACATTTGTGGACATCTACTTTGCACTGAGAGTGGGGGTTATGAGAATGAACGTAACAGAAACCCTGACCCCCAAAAGTTCAATACTATCTGAGATGTTGTCCAAGCCCAGGGAACTTAACAGCATGAGATAGATCTAGTAAGCTGAAGTAATTCACTAGATGAGGAGTGAATCCAGGGCAGTCCAGGCAGAGGGAAGAAGAACAAACAAACAAAAATGCCCAGAAATATAAAAGCCCTAGATGACACAGAACAACGTAGCTATGGCTCCCAGGCTGGGACCACTGGCTCTGGCCTGCAGCAGCTCCTATTCCTGCCTCGAAGGCTTGGCTCCACATGCGACCACTATTGCCAGTTCTGCCTGTTCTGGCTTCACAAGAGGCATTTCCTGTTGTAGAATAATCTTTTTGTACACTGTGAAGATTCATCCATTAGACTGGTTTAATAAAAACCTGAATGGCCAGTAGCTAGACAGGATTTTTTGGGGACAGAGAAAACATTGGGAAGAAGGGTGGAGATGTGGGAGAAGCCAGACAATGAACAAATTGGACACACAAGATGGGATAGAGGCAAAAGCCACATGGTAGAACGTATTAATATGGGTAGAACCCATATTAATAAAAATATGGGTTAATTTAAGTTATAAGAGCTAGTCAGAAAGAAGCCTAAGCTATTGGCCAAACTTTCATAATTAATAAGAAGTCTCTGTGTGGTTATTTGGGAGCTGGCTGGTTGGGACAGAAAAAGTATGGCTACAAATGGCAACAATGTCTGGCCACATATTTCCACATAAGACCTAAAAAAGCTTTAAAAATGGTTCAGAACATAGAATCAAAATGCAGCTTCCTTGCTTCCATGCTCTCTCGGATAGGCTCGGTGCTAGTGGCATATAGAGATGCAGTTCTTTTAAGAGGCCCTGCTACTGAGCATTTGAATGGGGTATATGAACAGCACATAGTGCGCTACTCAGTGGCATGAGACTAGGTAGAAATGCCTACAGCAGTGTGGACCCAGAAACTTCTCAGAGATAGGGTGGTAAGCGTGGCTCCCTCCAGGACCTCCACCATGAGGCTAGGCTCTCAAGGAACTGGGGGGGGGGGGCAGAACCACTGCCAGCATACCATGAGTTAAGCTGCTTGGTGGTTTAAGATTTTGCTCATGAAGACAGAAAGGGTTATAAAATAAGCAGTAAAGCAGGTTTAGACAGAAAAAATACCCTCTAAACAAGTTACACCATGTTTAACAATGTATGTAGGCTTAAGAAAAAAGAGAAAATGAGTATAGACAGTCATAAAAATGAAATACAATAATAGTTTAAAAATAATAGAGTAAAGTCTTTAAAGAAAGAGTAAAGGCCAGGCCATGGTGGCACACACCTTTAATCCCAGTGCTTGGGAGGCAGAGGCAGGCAGATCTCTGTGAGTTCAAGGTCAGCCTGGTCTACAGAGTGACAAAGTGAGTCCCAGAACAGCTAGGGCTATTAAACAGAGAAATCCTGTCTTGAAAAAAAAAAGAGAGGATAATACATACATACATACATACATACATACATACATACATACATATGCATATATGCCATTAGAGGTACAAAGTGAGTGTGAACTTCTATGTTATTGTGTTGTCTTTGGATTTTTGATTGCTAATAAGCAAATGAAAGCTGTTGGGAGACATGAAATTGTGAAAGGGACTACTGAAATAAACCAGCCTAAAATTTTTAAAAAGGCCTTAACTTTAAAATGGAACTCAAAAAATGTATTACTTTGGAGAAGAAGTTATGTTTTTCTTACAACAGGAAACAAAAGGCTGTGAATTCACTCAAGGTTAAAGAAGATCAGATTTGACTGGGAAAACCCCCCTGAAAATCCTGGCTACAGACATAAAGAAATAAACTTAAAAAAAAAAAAAACCTTCGGGCTGGAGAGATGGCTCAGAGGTTAAGAGCACTGACTGCTCTTCCAGAGGTCCTGAGTTCAATTCCCAGCAACCACATGGTGGCTCACAACCATTTGTTATGAGATCTGGTGCCCTCTTCTGGGGTGCAGATATACATGGAAGCAGGATGTTGTATACATAATAAATAAATAAAATCTTTTTAAAAAATCCCTACAAGACAGGTGACTATATTTTACCCACTCAAACAAACAATCATCTTTGGCTGGCTTGTGTACAATGCACAATCCTTTCTTGTGTTAATGCAGTTATGTATGTTACCTTTGAAATACTATGTTTTCAGAGCAAGGGAACCAGACACCAATGAAAACAGGTAGCCCAGGTGATACAGCCTCTCAGAGTGCCTCTGTTGTAGTTTCCTTAGAGTTCTGCATCCAGAACAGCTTCAAGGATGCTGACTGAGATGGTCCAGCCTCACAGACTATCCAGCCAAGACTTCAGATAATAAGCCCCACACTTTCCCATTGCACAGTCTGACTTGACCACTATCCCAAGTTTCCCAGGGTCTCCTAAAGATGCTATCACCACCAAACAACAGATAGAAGTCTAGAGAACATGACACCCAAATTCCCAAGAGGTGGGGTGGATGGCTTTGGCAATTGAATGCAATGGGTTATAGATATTTGTCATTGTTTAGGGGAGTTGGTTACAAATTGTTATTGGTCATGGTCAGAGAAATAGCTAAACTAAGGAGATTAGATTTTTGTATCTCTTTCTAAAGGGAAAAATGTGGATATAGTATAAAAATGATGAGATAAAAGGGTGGATTATTGAGTCTACTTTTGAACAGCCACTCGTCTCTAATATTTTACATTGATATAGACTTTAGTTTATTGATAAAAATTTAAGGTTATTATGGTTATATTGTATATATGTTTCTATTCTTGTTTATGGTGTTATACCTATATGGCTCATTTTAAATGGTTATGTACAGTTTTAGTCTTTGAAAGCCAGTTAGGATAATAAAAACAGGTTAATAGTTATCTACAACTATCAAACTTATAGTCATGTTAGGTATGTTTTCAAGGTCATACAGAGATATATTTTAGATAGGTGATCTTCAAACACTTCAAATACCTACAAAATATGACATTTAAAATGTTTTACTAACATAAGGCTTTTCTTGACAATGAGACATGTCTGCTTCTGTTGGCACCAATCTACTTCAAAAAAGGATGATGGGCATCAAAGAACCTCCATATGGAATTTACTTTCTTTATGGCAAAGGCTAGCCATTTGAGCAAGAAGCTGTCCTTGCCTTGGCTGTTGACTGTATGGTGTCCAAACTAAACCAGCAGGACACAAAGAAAAGTGACTGCCAAACTTTGCCAACACAGGGTATGACAGTCCTTCAAAAATTCCTGCTTCACAGAAAAGTCTGTCAGATATTCTAGGCCTCTAGGCTGAAGATAGATTCCCCAACATTGCAGAGGAAACTTGGATGACTGTCCAGGCAGCCAGATGTTTCTGTCATTTATTTTTGGAAGTTGCTTGCTCTGCACTTCCTGCTTACTAAGGTAATATATCCTTCTGGAGTCTCTGATGGAGTTGAAGACTAGATAGTCATAGTTCTCCTTAGCTATGACAGAAGGTAAATTAGGTACAGAGCTTTGGACTCATCAAGATAGAATAAACAATGGAGTATTTTCTCCAAATATTACAAATACAAATGGACTGGACATTGTAAATGTAACTCTTACCTGATACTTGTTATTATTTATAGTTTTATTACATTAGACTTAAACCCTTTCCTTTTTATTTAGACCAAATGGAGAAATGTTGTGGGATAATCTTTTTGTACACTGTGAAGATTTGTCACTTGGAATGGTTTAATAAAAAGCTGAATGGCCAATAACCAAACAGGATTTTTCAGGACAGAGAGGACACTGGGAAGAAGAAGGGATGAGATGTGGGAGAAGTGAGCCAGATGAGGAACAGGTTGAACACTCAAAATGGGATAGAGGTAACAGCCACATGGTTGAATGTAGATGAATAAAAAATGGGTTAATTTAAGTTATAAGAGATAGTTGGAAACAAGCCTAAGCTATCAGCCAAACTTTAATAATTAATAAGAAATCTCCATGTGGTTATTTGGGAGCTGGCTAGGTGGGACCAAAAAAGTCCCACTACAATTTCCCACTCCTGCCATGGGCCAGGAAGTTTGGTACCCCACCACCAAAGGTAGTGTTCCACTCAAGGCACAGATTTCCATGCTCCTTGACTCACTC